GATAGGGAGGATAGGGAGGATAGAGGATAGGGAGGATAGGGAGAATAGGGAGGAGGAGGAGGAGGAGGAGGAGGAGGAGGAGGAGGAGGAGGAGGAGGAGGAGGAGTAGGAGGAGGAGGAGGAGGAGCACAATGACGAAGACGAGGACGAAAACGAGGACGATGTGGACGCGCACGACGACGAGAGCGAGGACGAGGAGGACGAGGACGAGGAGGACAATGAGAACGACGATGATGGTTGTGATGAGGATGATGTGAGTGAGGAAGATGGGTTCGCTTTGTGTTGTCTGGCAGTCTTCAGAGACGGACAATTCCGTGCTGCTGATCTCGATCATGCGAGTCTGCGTGCCAGGTTAGGCGAGGTTTGACAATGCGACTCTCGTGCTCAACATCGCCTACAATTCCAGGCTGTTTGACGTCGTGCTCATCTGTGGGCTCCGTTTTCGTGCTGTCTGGTTCTGCGGGCTAGCGTCGTCGAGGGTCAGAGAATGGAGGGATCACCAGGCAGGTTCCGAGTTCTTGCGCACCGCTCGGGGCGCGCGTTTCCGAGGAAGCCCTGGGCTCCTGCTGCTGCTCTGGCTTACGCCGACCACTTCCCCACAACCCGCCGGTTTCTCTCTGATTACCCGATGCCCTCGCGTGCCAATGTTGAAATGGCTTGCACTTCATTCCTGTGCGTCTGCCGCCCCTGGATGTGACCGGATGTGCTGCGCTGGGTGGCCAGCACGTCCTGCAGGCCTCACCCTCTTACCCGACACCCTCTTGTGGACATCTCCCGTCCTCGTCCTGCCTCCTCGCCCTTCGCCGCTCCTCCACCTCTCCCTCCTCCGTCCTCCCAGCTTCCTCCCTCCTCCCTCTTCCTTTTTCTCCTCGTCCGCCTCCTCTCTCTTCCCATACTTCCCCTTCTCCTTCCCTCCTCCCCGCCCTCCCACCGTCCACCCTCCTCTCTCGTCGTCTCCCTCCTGCTACCTCCTCCTTCCTCTCTCGTCCCTCCTCTCTCGCCACCATCGTCGTCGTAGCCGCGCACTCGTCACCGTCGTCGCTGCAGGCTCCGGCTCCGCCGCCGCACCGCCGCCGCCGCGCAGTCGTTTAGGTGTCGTCTTGCCTTCATGGTCGTCGCCGCGGCTACCGCTGTCGTCTTGCAATCGTCGTCGTCGTCGGCGTCTCTACGGCCGTCGCCGTCGTCGAAAGTCCGTCCGAGGCCGTGAAGACCTCTCCTGCCGCCCTGGCGCACGTCGCGGAGTCGCTGAGGCGCCCCGCTCCCGCCGCCCGCCGCTCGACGGCGGCGACGGCGGCGGCGGCGGCGACGGCGACGAGGACGAGGCAAGAAGAAACAAAGATCTTGGCACTTTCTGCCCTGCCTTCCAGGGGGGCCCCCGCCGCCGCGGCCGGGTCCGTCGCCTGGGGGTCCTGGTGGGAGCGGGAACGTCCGGGGGATTTGAGGCGACGACGACGACGACGACCACGAGGACGACGGCGACGGCGGCGGCGGCCTGACGACATCAGCCTTCTGCTCCTCCTCCTCCTGCTCCTCCTCCTCCTGCTGCTCCTCCTTCTCCTCTTCCTCCTCCTCCTCCTCCTCCTCCTCCTCCTCCTCCTCCTCCTCCTCCTCCTCCTCCTCCTCCTCCTCCTCCTCCTCCTCCTCCTCCTCCTCCCCCCCCCCCCCCCCTCGCCTCCTCCTCTCCTCCTCGTTTTTACGCCTTTGGGTTGTCCCCTCGTCACCACGGTCGGCCGTGGCTCAGAAATGCGGCGCGGACGGACTCTGGGCAGATTCTCCGGGATTGATTTCGAGCGGATTCGGGTCAGCCGACGGAGCCGGCGGAGGAGGAGGAGGAGGAGGAGGAGGAGGAGGAGGAGGAGGAGGAGGAGGAGGAGGAGGAGGAGGGAGGAGGAGGAGGAGGAGGAGGAGGAGGAGGAGAGGAGGAGGACGAGGAGGAGGAGGAGGAGGAGGAGGAGAGAGGAGGAGGAGGAGGAGGAGGAGGAGGAGGAGGAGGAGAACGACGACGGCGGCGACGACGACGACGGCGGCGGCGACGGCGGCGGCGACGGCGACGACGACGACGACCACGGCTGCGACCGCGATGGCGACGGCCCCGACGGCGGCGGTGGCGCGGCGACGAAGGACGCCTGGCGATTCCACGGATTTCTCGGGGCTCTCCGGGGGGCCCTCGTGTGCAGCCGATGCCTGCCCGCCCGCAAGCCTGGCCGAGAGGCACAGCCGCGCCTTCGTGCTGCGGGCGCTGGAGGCGCGGCCTCTCGCCCTGGCGTTTGCGGCGCCGGCCTGGAGGGAGGACCGCCCGCGGCCCCCGCGACCGACCGCGGACGCCGCCACCGCCCGCGGTCCCCGCGGCCCCCCGCCGCCGTCACGCCGCCCTCCGTCGCCGTCGCCTCCGCCGCCGCGGATCGTCGTGGTCGTGGTCGTGGTCGTGGTCGTCGTCGTCGTCGTCGTCGTCGTCGTCGTCGTCGTCGTCGTCGTCGTCGTCGTCGTCGTGGTCGTGGTG